GAGAGAGAGAGAGAGAGAGAGAGAGCTGTTCTTCTCTCTTTCTCTCTTTGAGTATGAATTGCATCATGAGTGATCCACCTCATGACCTAATTTAAGTTTAATTACCTCCCAAAAGCTCCACCTCCAATCATCACATGAAGGTGAGGTTTCAACATACGGATTTGGGGGTATAGGGGCACAAACATTCAGTTCATAGCAACCAAGCTCCCTTGTCCTGCCCTCTGGACTAAGGCTGGGCTTGTTTAACATAAGACACTGGTAGGAGGGCTGGAGAAGAGTGAAGTCAGGGTCTTCTCCTGGCTTCCACCTGTTGGGTTGCACCTACTGTCGGGCATCCTGGACTCTTTCCAGTGTTAACTTCAAGGGGAACTTGTAGCTCTGTCTTGCTGTGCTGTTTTTCTGCATGTCTTAATTCTGCCCCACCCATTTACAAATAATCACTTATTAAATCATCCTCAACTTCCCATTCTAGAACATAGTGTAGTTCCTGCTAGAACCTTGACTGGTGTCTGAAGAGTTGGTCACAAAAAACTACTTGAGAACTTTCTTGCAACATTAATATCTGTTACTGCACTTGATGTTACTTATAATACTTATTTCTTTTTTTATTCAAATTTGATATATTTGACAGCAGAATGCATTACAACTCATATTATACATAGAGAGCCCAAGTGTTCATATATCTGGTTGTACACAAAGTAGAATCACACCATTCGTGTCTTTACTTCTTGACTGAGTCAGGGGAAATGGATACTGAAGTGATTTGGCCAAGAAACCGCAAACTTCCTTGATCCAAAAAGAAAAAAAAATTGTGTCTTCCTCTATCTTCTATTTTTAAAAAATGATAGTAATTGCTAGGGGAGGTGTGGAAGATGAACATTTTGCATTTTCTGGTGAGGTGATAAATCTCTATCTTTGTTGGCAAGAAATTTGTCAGTTTATAGTAATGGCCTTCAAAATATTTGATTTATTGATCCAGTAATTCTGCGTCCAGCAGTCCATCTGTAGGAAATATTGCAATGAGAGATGTTCTAGTCAGCTTTTTATTGTTATAACTAAAATACCTAACAAGAACAACTTAGAGGAAGGAAAATTTATTTTGGGCTCATGGTTTCAGATTCTTTAGCCTGCAGGTTCTGTTGCGCCAGTCCCAAAGTGAGACAAAACGTTATAACAGAAGTGGGTGATGGAGGAAAGCTGCTCAAAATCCACCTGGGCAAGAAGTCCTGTAGCTCTACATCTAGCAACTGGGGCACATGGTGGTGAGACTTGCCTCTTATGATCTCCAAAGGACTTGGGCTGCCACACCGCTATGTACTTGCTAGTTGCGGGTCATATGGCCTTTCACTTAGACTGACTGTCCACCGATAGCAGCTTTCGTTGGCAGATATTCAATGTTACTGGTATCTCCACTGCAGCTTCAACTTCATTCTCATAGCTTCATGTACTCCCTCTTCATGTTCTTCCTTTAGAAATTCTGTCCCTGCTATGCTTTACCTCTCAAGCCTTACCTTGAACTCCTGGTGGAAGCCTTCATGACCCTCTAATTCTAGCATCCTGCATTCCTACAAAGCCCATACCACATAGATGATGCCAAGGTCTTCCACCAGCTCAAGCAATATCCAGATCCTCTTGAACCATGGCCTCAGTGGCTTCTGAGTACCTGAGTTGATGAACATGGTGAAATGAATCCTGGGGAAACAACTTTCTAGGTCCCCCTTGTGAACATGGGGCCCTCAAGTTCTTTTAAATGAGTTTTCACTACTATATGCTTGAGCCTGAGATGGGTGTGGTCTTGCTGATTCCTAAGCTGCTCTCAAGCCATCTTTTCTATTGTCTCTGGGCAGAGCACTTAGCTTATTTTTAGTGGTGGTGATCTCCTCAACAACCCTGCCTTATTGACTCCCATTGAACTTGTGCTTCTCTGGTAAAGCTGCTTGTTTTTAAATTCCTTGTTCTTTGATTTCTGCTCCCAATTCTCAAAATAAACCTGGCTAAAAGCTGCCAGAAAAATCCATTCAACTGTCTGAATTCTGTTCTGTATTGAAATTTTCTCCACTAGAGTAATTAGTCTATCACTTTTAAAGACTCAGGACACGGTAAAAATATAGACAATTTCTTTGCCAGAATGTAACATGAATACGTCGAGTCCAATTTTCAAGAGTCCCTGTTCCCTTCTGAAATATCATGAGCACAAGCTTTATTGTCTACATTCTTATTGATATTCTGGTCTTCTGAGCTCTCACCAGAATT